TCTTTTGGCTATGTCAGGCAGAGGCAGGCCATCCGCGCTGGAGCAGTGTCTCACAAGGCATCCTTCAAGTCCTCGACTACCTGGAGAAGGCTTACAAGACTAAGAAGCTCAAGTGCTTCTATTGGAAGGACATCAATATCATGGAGCTGATGAACAGGGCCGAAAGAAAGGCATCCCTGAAGACCGTCAAACATATCCGGAATAATATGAAGGCTCTGCTGATCCAGAGCAACTGGAAGTTGTCACAGTTTCTGCTGCAGGAGCCCCAGCCTAGACTCTCCGAGCAAGAAGCTCGCATCGTTCTCATACGCTACATGATCACTCTCGGGGTGAATCTGAACACAACTCAATGCTTCTGTTTTGCGAAGGCGGGCAGGCTGAATGCGAAAATCAAGTTCGCGATAGTGTCATCACACCCAGCGGAGGTGTGTCGTATGTTCCGTGAGTACACCTCCGGGTGGTACATTGGGAATTCACTCCTCCATGCGCTGATGATCGTACCGGAAGAGGTAGCCGAACAGGTGCGACTGACGGAGAACGAGAGCGGCATCTTTGAGTGGGACGCCGCCGCACTCCTGGCACTGCTCAATGAAGACGACCTGGAACATATGCTCTGGGACCCTGCCGCAGTGCGGGCCTGGCTCAAGGACCAGCCCGAGACAGAGCGGCCGGCCGGTCAGCCCGCTGACCTGAGGACACCACGTGACCTCTGTGACCTGCTGCTCAACGCCCCTCTGCTGGTGTCCGTCCTCGAAGCAAGTGTGCCTAACTATCGCCAGAAAATGAAAGAGTGGGAGAAAATAACAGTACCGTTTTCAGATCGCTTCCGGTGGTCATTCGAAGATTGCCGGGAATGGATGGAACAAGACGCCCTGGACTCTTTCTTCAACACCAGCGACCGCTTTCACACTCAGTTAGGCGTGGATAGTGAGCTGGCACAGCGAAGGCACCGGTACTACATGCGCCTCTTCAGTCAGCTCCGTGAAGATCCTGTGGTTCGCACCGAACACAACCGCTTGAGGAACGTGATGCCGGACTCGTGGAGGCTGAGGCCAAGCGTGTTCCGTGGAACTGTGTGACGATTCCCGAGCTCCAGCAGAAGCGTTACATGGGACGCTACGTGCGCCATCGCTTTCGCCTCCACACATGAGGTCAAGTGTGCTTCGAGAGCTCGCACTGCTGCAGCGACTGCAGAGAAAAACAAGCGTGGACGCTATGCCAATATCTCAGAAAGGAGCTCAGAAAGGCTCGCCTCTGGTGCTCGGAACGAGGGACGTGAAGCCACCGCACACATTGGTGCCGCATTTTCATCACTTTCAAGGACCAAAGAGAGTACTTTAGTGCCCGCAAATAATATCAATTGAATTAATTCGCGGGAATAAGGCCGCCATGTGACATCCATTGGGTTATTTGGTCGACGCCAGTGTTTGGAGATCGTCCGAGTGTGTAGCTTCCGTATCGGTTTTCGATGCTGTGAGTCTTAATTGATAAAGCGCTTTGATCTGAGGACGTAGTAACTTGTTGCAACGCTGTTCTTATGCCCTTTCCCACAGCAGTTGTGTCGTGTGTGACATCACAAGTGTGTGTGGCATCACATCACATAACAACATTCGATGCGTGACGGTTGAAAAGCTACATACATAAGCGCGGGAGCCGGGGGGGCAGTGGGGGCAGCTTGCCCCCCCAACTCTGGGGCCGTGGGGGCGGTGCCCCCACAGCTTTGAGACGGAATACCACACTTTTTTTTGCAAATGTTTTCTTTTTTTGTTGAAAAAGCCGAGGGGTGAAAAATAAGTGGCCTAAAACCGGTGAGAAAACTAGATTTGGGGGTACCCTTAGTTAATCTCTATTATGGTGTGCCCCCCCCCCCCCCCAGTCGGAAAGTAGTTCCCGCGCCCCTGGCTACATATATATGCGGCATGACGTATTTGTGCAATGACATGTTTAAAATTTAAGACTTCTGCAACAAGGATATTTACCGCATGTATGTATTATGTATATATACAATATGATACCTATATACTTATATACCGATGTGTAGTCTTTTTTTGGTAATATTTGCTGTTTTTCATGTCCCTTACAGTCAATGAGAACATTTCATGTTTAAAAAAAAAAAAATAGAGAACAAGGGGAGTAGATTGAGCCGAGTTGATAACTCGGCGACAGGCGGTCGGGTGGGTGGCTCACCGTAAAATGTGAGGCTCAGAGAAATGTTAATCAGATACCAACTTTTTGGTATACCGATACCAAAACAATACAATTTGTTATTTGATATTTCAACCCTAAAGGTTATGGTGTTTTGTAGACAATATGAATCCTCATTCCTCATTATGCGTAGGAGGATGTGAATTCTACAAAAAGTTGGCATTTCTTTAAATTTCCTAAGCTAGTACGTCATGCGGTATTTTCCCAATTTTCTGGTAGGTAGGCATTTGATTCAGTATCGGTATACGGATTTTCCGTAATTGACATCTCCCATACGGTTAAAACTTAACCCTCGCACGACCAGGCCATTTCTCATAACACGAACGACCAGGGGGGGGGTTGTTACGACCCCCCCCCCTGGCGTTTCGAAACGGAAGGTCGTAGAGCTTAGCGGAAAAAACCAACGGATTGCTCTCAACGAGATCTCGCGATTGGTGGTATATTTTTTGGTCCTAGGTCAACATTTGACCTACTTTTGACCGGTCAAAGGTCAAATTTTCGGAAAAATAGACTTTTTTCAACTTTCCGCGGCGATTGCGGCAAAAAGGTGGGAGATATCGACTTGAAACCTTCACTATCGTGTTCCTTGATCAATTCTCTATCGTTTGGTATGTATTTCGTTTCCCTAGCTCTAAAAATGGCGCGTTGGGAGCGCCGGAAGTCGGCAAGGTCACAGTCGGCGGCAGAAATTCGAAAAATCAAAATTTAAATTTTTGAAATCTGATTGTATTTTTTGATTTGGGAGGTCCATTTGCTCCCTATAGAAGCTAATATTGCTGCATATTCCCATTGAGGTGACAAGAATTAGCAAAATAGTGGTTCGGGCGCTTTTCAAAAATAGTACCGGACGCTGTTCCTCTTGTGACGTCATAGCTCCGTGACCTGACCTGACCCGGTCAAGTTTCTTGCACCACACGATGGCCAATACTTGCCCCAACATGCATGGGAAATTTCATGACGATCCATCAAACAATGTGGATAGCATCAGCAGAAAACCTCGGGACTCGGTACACACTTCGTGAAAATCCGGCCGGAGGCTGTACCTCTTATGACGTCATAACTCCGTGACCTGACATGACCCGATCAATTTTTTTTCGGCAAAAGATGCGCAAAGGTTGCCCCAGAGGGTGTTGAAAATTTCAGCCCGCTACGACAAGCCGTTTAGCGTGCACTTCGAAAAAACCTCAGGGGGGGTTGATACACCCCCCCCCCTAGGCGTTCTAGGGTTAACCCGCGCCCCGTAGGGGGGGCGAAACGCCCCCCCCTGTCCTTTTCCGTCGATATCTCCTAAACGGATAGAGATATCGTCACCAAACTTTCAGGACCCATCCGGGTATCAATTTTACACATTGTGACCAAAAATTTTTCCAGAGGCTATGATAGGTTGGCCACAAATGACGTCAGAAATCATAATGACGTCATGTTCTGCCATTTTCGACCGAAAAAAATACCTTCGCGAGAAGACCTGTCAGGCCTACAGCTTTGAAGATACAGAAAAATGATCAAGACATAAAAGGTGTAGAATTGACAGGGCTACAAAACTGCTATCTCGGATTTTTGAATTTTTTGGGTTTTGACCCCAAAAATCAAAAATGCAATTTTGTGATATATTAGACAAAAAACACAAAAAGCTTTTTGAGTTTCGAAAAAAAACGGAATATATGTGATAGTACCGACCGTCTTCTATCTACATACCAAATTTCAGATCGATATCTCCTTTTTTGGCCAAGTTATAGCGAAAAAAACTGTTCAAAAATGATAACGTAAAATTTTCAAACTCAATTTTTCACCATTGGACTCCACGTGACAAGCTGCATCGAATGGATACCCATTTTATGCAAAATATCAACTTTGAAATTTGACCTAATTTGACCTGACCTTGACCTGACCTTCACCAAAACGTGACCTAAGCTGGTCCCAAAGGCTCCTTGACCCACATAATCGCATTTGTCATGTAAAATGGACCATAAAACATGTATCACACGACACTTTCATATTGTGACCCCCAGTGACCTGACCTCTGTGACCTGACCTGGTATCAGTGACCTCAGATAGCGAAGTATGTGTTTGACGAGCAATATACCATCGATGATTTTCAATAACTTACCAATTTACTCGACTTCACAAAACATTTCTTGAAATGCCTGTGAACGGTGAAAATCTGACCTTTGACCTGACCTGTGACGTCATCGGTTTGACCTAGGTCAATGAAATTTGGTCACAAAGTAGTTCCCTGGTAGGGCTATCGAACGCCGTTTTTGAAAATCGGCCGGTAAATTTCCGAGATCTTAGGGGGGCCGAAACGCCCCCCCCCCCTACGGGTGGTAGGGTCCGCCGGTAGCCCTACGGGGCGCGGGTTAAGTGTTCCCTCGAGGTAAGCCACCCGATAGCTAAAACGGCCACCCTGGGGGGACAGCTTCTATATTAGAGCTGCCCTCACAGCTCTTTTAGTTGGGTGACCGTCCGCATATTACTGGAGATTATAATAAAGGATCACGACGGCATTGATGATGGATATTATAATACCTCGATGGACCAAAACGTGTACATATTTGTCTGACGACAGGGGTCAGTGACAGAGCAGTGAGATCGGGGAAATCTAATGCCCCACACTCGTCCTGTCCTTGGCCCGGGCTTCACACTGGGACAGATATAGCGTAACAAAAGGCGCAGCCTTCCTGCATATCAATGCTAGTCGGTATGGATCTATACCTCCAGACTAGAGCACCTACATTTCTAGCGATTATACCCCCCATGAAATAACATAACCTCAACCTCATAATTCCCTAACTTACCATGTGCGTTTGACGATATTCTCCTCAGTGACGTGGTATCTGACGTCATCGATGATGACGCGGCCACCTGTGACGTTGCCAAAAGCCTCGACGATATCAGTGGGCTGACGCACAATCACATCAGGTGCCACGCCGAGAGTGACGTGAACCAGTTGTGACTGGTCGTACACCCAAATCTGCAGCAGAACGAGCAGGAGTTAGACAGAGCGACATATTATAATTTTGCTTGAGAGAGTCGAACGTGCTTAAATCGTGGCATATGCTGTCTGTGTCTTGTAATTGCATAGGTTCTGCGATCTGGCGCAAAAGAAATTGCGGCTATTTTAAAAGGACCCTCCCACCTTCAAAAAAGTTTATGAATTGGCATGAAAGTGATGTCGCTCGGTTCAGAAAGAGCGAAAACGAATATCTACCAAATTTCACCGAAAAATATTCACCGGTTTTCAAGATATTAGACTTTTACTTTTGTTTACTTTTTTGGGATCTCCGCTGTTTCTAGCGACTTTATTTTAGAAGTGCGGCGTTTGCGGCAGATGTTGCGCGCAAATAGCATATACCACCGCGTGCTACAAAACGTTTTAGTCAAACATTTAAAAATCGTTAGATATCTGCGCTGACGTCACACATTCAGAGGGGTATTCCTAAGCATTAGCACCTCTGAATCAAAATGCTGCAATTTTGAAATTCAATATTTCCGATTTAAGGCATTTCTCGATGTTGTGAGTGCCAAAACCGGTAATTGTGAGCCAGGGACCCCATTTTGGCTATCTCAACTCAAATATAATGTTAAGGTGGGAGGGTCCCCCTGCAATTTTAGTTACTATGGTCAGGGAAAAGCCGACATAAAAACGCACATGTTAGATTTAGTTACTAGGTAGCCATAGAGAGCATATTCTTCCGAAAAAAGTCCCTCATACATACCATTATTCCTTGGTTCCACGATGTCATGGAAAAGAAAACATAATAAAACCACTGCGCCAATTAGCATTTTACCCAACCACCAATAATAAGCCGACATCTATACTCTACACAATGCGTTCTTAGGAATTAGCATGGTCAGTACTCAGTGCCTACATCCAGACTAACCCCAAAATAACCCATCGCATGACGTTCCCTCCCCCCTCCCCGTTCACTCACATGCACGGTGGCGTCGGCTTGTCTATGCGGCGGCAGCACCTCTCTGGCACTGAGCTGGATCACGAACCGGTGGTGTTTGTATTCTCCCATGAGCGCTGCGCAGCTGAGACGACCACCGGCGTCCACACGGAAAGGGGAGGGGACGATCGCGCCGCTCGATTCCGTGGCTCCTGTAAGGGGGAAGAGGGGTGGTGAGGGAGAGGGAGAGGGAGAGGGAGAGGGAGAGGGAGAGAGAGAGAGAGAGAGAGGGAGGGAGAGGGAGGGAGAGGGAGGGAGAGGGAGGGAGAGGGAGAGGGAGAGGGAGAGGGAGAGGGAGAGGGAGAGGGAGAGGGAGAGGGAGAGGGAGAGAGAGGGAGAGGGAGAGGGAGAGGGAGAGGGAGAGGGAGAGGGAGAGGGAGAGGGAGAGGGAGAGGGAGAGGGAGAGGGAGAGGGAGAGGGAGAGAGAGAGAGAGAGAGAGAGAGAGAGAGAGAGAGAGAGAGAGAGAGAGAGAGAGAGAGAGAGAGAGAGAGAGAGAGAGGGAGACGAGCGGAATACAACTAACAAAGAAAACAGTCCTTCAGGTGACTGCAGAACATTGTAATCTTATGATAGAACAACTGAACAGATAAACAGAAAATATCACTACCCTGTCCAAAACATAAAAAGAAACAACATCTTCAGTAGCCTATACACGAAAATCAACGCTTATCACTGCTTCAACAAATCAAACCTTCTCTCAATACTCAAACCTACTAACAGCCTCTTAGCTCTTTCTTTCCACATCTGTGAGACCGTTTCGACGTTACCCCTTCTTTTCCCCGTCTGCGACTTCGACCGTACCTGGTTTGTAGAGCTGTGTGGAGCGTATCGAGTACGCCAGCTCGGCGTTCTGTCCCTGATCGGGATCGTCAGCCTCGACAGTGGCCACCGGATCACGGAATTTGGCCAGCTCCGAGACGCCTGGGTGTCAGGTCAGGGTGGGGTCAGTGTGGGGTCAGGGTGGGGTCAGTGTGGGGTCAGGGTGGGGTCAGGGTGGGGTGGGGGTCAAAATGATCAGACAAGCGGCGATTAAAATAAAGAAATAATAGTGGAGTGTTACACATCGAATGATGAGAGTTCAACCAAGCCAATTATCTCGAGCAGCCTTAGTCGTGCGGTTTGCGGATGACAGGTAACATAAATCCCCAATGTATGTACTTGATTAACAATGAACAGCCTTAGAGGCAGCTTTAAACCGAATCGATACGCCCACAAAGTCAAATCTAAAGCAGCAGCTGGAATCCATAAACGAAACCATAGCAAAAAATCATGCCAGCCACCTACAATACAGCCGGCAGTAGACTAACCTGCAAAGTAGTCCTTCATAGCGAACGAGGGAGGCGAGTCGTTCTTGTCCTGCACTGTGACCTTGACCAGGGTCATGGTCGGGTCAAGGTCATCGGCGGTTACATTGGCGGCGTAGAATGTCGCGTTGCTTGTGGCTGAAACACGACGGGTGTAAGGAGGTCAAATGTTTAGTCAATCGTGAAAAATAGGTCAATATACTACTATGGATAGAATCGTAAATATGTAATAAAAGTCCAACGGTGAGAGAGATAACTGATTATCTAATAACGCAAAAGATATTGCACAATGCACATATCGATAGCATAATGAGAGTAAGATAAAACGCGCATGATCCAAAACTTCAGCTCATCGGATACAAACTATGCACCAGCGATGATAAAAAGCATCGGTGAGCGCCCCCCCCCCTCCAGTTTTTCTCCACACCATACCTTTGACGATAATCTCATACTGGCCGCGCTCCTCTCGATCGAGCGGCCCGTTGGCCGAGATCTGTCCACTCTGGGAGTTGACTGTGAACGTCTCTCGGTCTCCTCCGGCGGGGAAGTAGAAAATGCGGCCCGTCTCAGGAGTATCGGGATCCTCGGCGTGAACCGTGCCTGTTGAGGGGTAAAGAAGGGGTACAAATCATGGAATATATAGGAGAGAGGCATACGTCCTGTAACGCGAATGGTCGTAAGTGTCGCGAAACAGGCATATATCGTAAACCTGCAAAGGAACGATGTCAAAAGGAGAACGAGAACGAAGCATGCAAAGCAAGTGGTGCCTAGCAATATCTGAAAATATACAAGCATCAAATTGTTAATGCTGTCATACCAAAATACCGCCGAATAATTATTGTACCGTGTCTTATTTAGATCACTTATATAAGTAGAAAATAAAAATGTACCATATACTTAATACACGTTAAAGATGCACAGCAATGTCGAGTTACTCAGACAACTAAAAAACTTTCCGTTTCCTGCGCTAGCTAGCAATCCCTCTGACTCCACACATAGTCACGCGCCCAATGGCCCCACTCCTTCCCAATAGCCAATGTCATCCTCTAGTCTACTCAATTTTCCCCTCCCCACTAAGCACCTGCTCCATCATTACCCCTCCCCTCGGCCCCTCCCGGCTCCCTCCTCCGCCCAGTTTCCTTACCGACTACCGTGCCGCCCGGCAGGTTCTCCATGACACTAAACCGATGCACGTGCTCTCGAAACTGCGGCACGTGGTCGTCCTCATCTCGCACGTGCACCTGCACGTAGCGCACCGTCTCGTGCGGAATTGGAGAGCCGTGGTCGCGCGCCACCAGCACCAGCTGCGAGAAAAGCGCGCGAAATCAGTCACGTGGGTAAAGGGTGGGGATAATTGAAACTGAAAGTTAATATTAGTTATTACCATGGTGATGCAAGTAAGCAAGATTAGCTTTGTATGGTGGGAGGAGGTAACCGGCAAGCGTTGAGACACAATCGACTTTTATAGCGGGCATTCGTTCCCGGGTATTCGACGCATCTGCCCCTAGCGGATTATTATTCGTTCATATGATCAGTCATTCAGCCATTCATAATATATTTCCAGCCTTGTCCCTACCCTATGCTACTCGAACACTGAGCAAGTTACGCCCCTTTCTGATAGCGACACCCCAGCTTCTGCTCAGCTTATTACTGAATGATTACCCATCCCTGCCCTAAACCCCGGCAGCCCTGGCCGAAGGCAGTCCCAGCCACGGCCCTGAAGCTGCTGTGCCAATTACCGTGTAGCTGTCGCGACTCTCTCGGTCGAAGCGGACCTTGCTGCGCACTTCTCCGGTTTCAGAGTCGATGGTAAACTCCTCCGTTTCACTGCCATCTGTCTCATTCACTCTAAAACACAGAGGTAGGGAAGGGTGATGAGTAACGTTCCATTAATTGAAAAAGTTGGTGAGGCGAGAACGGGGCAAAAATGCTAACAAAGATAGATAGGCTAGCGTCACAAAACAATACACTTATACCTATCATTAGAAAAGACGAAAAGATCTCACAAACAAAATTAATATACGTAATGACGAGTGGCAACAAGTAATCAATATAGTCTCATATAGAATACAAAATAAAGAAAACCAAATAAACGAGCTTACTTACTTAGAATTATTTCGTCAATATTTCGAGTGAATAAACAAAATCACGTACCCCCCCCCCCCCACACACACACACACTGCAGCACGGATAGCTCAATATGTGACGTAGTAGAAAATCACCACCTCCCTCACAAGGCACGGCACGGAGGTACTCTTACCTGAAGTAGTAGGAGATCCTGCCGTTGTCGCCCTGATCGGAGTCCTCCGCCTTAGCCGTCAGTACCAGACTGCCAGCCGGCTGAGAGTTCTGTAAAACGAGGAGTAACGTTCTATCAAAGAAAGAACATACATACAAATCTGGGATAGCATTCCATAACCGTGACATAATTGTCATCAGACTGCCACATAAATATCTTACAAAAACTCAGTGAAATTCATCTCATCTTACCATCTTTCCGCCAGTCCCAACACTTATCCTTCAAACCAGCCCCGCCCCAAGAGATACATCCCCCCCCCCCCCAGACCTACCTCAGTGACCTCGAAGACGGCGTTATCGGCCGACGGTCTCACGAAGCTCGGTTTGTCCTGGTTGGCAGCCAGTACAGTCACCCTCACCGTGGCCGTGTCGTTGAACGTACCGTCCGTGGCCAGCGCCGTCAGAGACATCTCTGGAGGAGAAACGGAACTATGAGTGATACATTATGTAGCGACATCTCTGGAGGGAAAACGGAACTATGAGTCATACATTATGTAGCGACATCTCTGGAGGGAAAACGGAACTATGAGCGATACATTCTCTAGAAGAGCAAATATAAAGTACGACGGAATTTCTGGAGGCCCAATGTAACGAAGCTATCAGACATGGGTAATTTGCAGGAGGGAGTATCATTAAGCGGTCATAGCGACATTTCTGACATGAACAGTATTATCTGCGGAACAAGGAATGATAAAAACAGCAACGTGTCTCGGAAAGGAGAAATGTTATTACGAATAAGTCCAACATTTTCTTTAAAAAAGGAGCAATCAGCAGCAAAAACTGTTATCTGAAGAAAATAAAATACCCTTTATTCAACTCCCTTCTCTGGCTCCTTTAAACTCTCATTCGTTAGGTCCTGACCGCTGGCTCTCCTTTTCTCCCTCACCCCCTCCTTACCGCCCAGTCCGGCCTCTACCCGTTTGGCAGGGTACAGGAACCCCGTCTCGGGGTGTAGCCTAAAACTGGCCGAGTGAGGACCCGCCAGAAGCGAGTAACGAACCGCCGAGTTTTCGCCAGAGTCGGTATCCGTTGCCACCACCTGCCAAAGAGGTCACCGAGGTCAGTGGCGAGAGAGGTCAGGTCAGGTGTTATAGAGGTCAGGTCAGGTGTTAGAGGTCAGGGACAGGGACCCTGACCTACCCTGAGGGTGGGAGGTATATGGGGTAACGTCAGAGATAGGGGGATAGGGTATTACACTATTTCAGGGCCATGAGTGTAAAAGACGCTTCGACGGGTGAACACGAGCTTATAATGCACATTCAACCCGACTGGTCACGTGAGAAATCAGCACAACGTCCTATTACTGCACACGTCATCATAATAATGCGATGTACATACTGATATTTTCAGCATGGAATGATCGCTGCCTATTGAATATACTACATGCGGTTACCCATACATAAAAAATCCTCAGCTGCAATACCCACCCCGGTCACATACCACGTTACATACCATCCTCAGTCATGCGTCTCATACCCTGACCCTGCCGCATACAAACCTGCAGTATGGGGCGGGTATGTCCGTACACACCTGCAGCACCTATGGGGCTTGTATGTCCATACGTACCTGCAGTATGGGGCTGGGCGGTGACAGCGGTATGTTCATACTCCATACATACCTGCAGTATGGGGCTGGGCGGTGACAGCGGTATGTCCATACTCCATACATACCTGCAGTATGGGGCTGGGCGGCGACAGCGGTATGTCCATACTCCATACATACCTGCAGTATGGGGCTGGGCGGCGACAGCGGTCTATCCATACCCCATACATACCTGCAGTATGGGACTGGGCGGTGACAGCGGTATGTCCTCCACAATACTGGCAGAGTACACCGGACGGTTAAACTGCGGCTTCTGATCATTAATATCCAGCACTGTGATGTTCACCTGTTGAGAGAGTGGTGAAAATTCAGACGTTAGAGGTGGTGAAAGGGACAAGAAGAAACACGCGGGAGGGGGTAACATGCAAACACAGGCCTAGAAAACCGAGCTGGCATTAAATCGAAAACAACGAACCGTCCTAGTCTTAGGAGCAAAATATATAGTAATTCCATAATATCGCACAATATGAAGGTCATCCACCCAAGAGTCTCTTTTGTCTCTGCCTTCACTCTGAATATGAACCTAATTATCCTCTACCCTACTTTCAATCGCCCTTTACTCTCTAGAAGAACTCTCTTCTATCCGCATCTCTCTCTCCCTCCCTCCCGCCGTCCCTCTCCCTCTCCCTCCCTCCCGCCGTCCCTCTCCCTCTCCCTCTCCCCCTCTCTCTCTCTCTCTCTCTCTCTCTCTCTCTCTCTCCCCCCTCCCTCCCTCCCTCCCTCCCTCTCTCTCTCCCCTCTCACCAAGGCAGAGGCGCTCCGTCGACCCTGGTCGGGCCCCATGTCGAACGCCGTCACAGTTAGTAACACCTGAGGCCGCTTCTCGCGGTCCAGGTCTGCAGTTAGCAGACGGACCACACCCAGATCGTCGACGGAAAAGTCGTCCGAGAGATCACCTGAGGGGTTGAGGGGGAGGGGGGGGGGGTTACAGAGGGTGTGAGATGGCTTTTGGTGAACTATCTTTTGCTAGAATAACGCCGATGAGCTGAGATTTGTGAAATAAGGCTTACTATCGATTATGTCAATGTCATTGCATGATACTTTATTTCTAATGTAGAGTGAGATAATGGAGAGTGGGAATGTTTGTGACTGATTGACTCAGAAGAGATCAGACTGGTTAGTGGTTATCGCAATACGATGGGGTTGCAAAGAAAGTTTTGAGTTTAGGAGAAACATTATACCGCCAAGTTAATGAGAGATGCGAAAGATAGTTAGGGCGAATACATCAGAGGACAAGATAAGAAGACAGACACAGCAAAAGTCCAAAAGCCACTGTACGTAAATAACGGGACAAAACAAAACCATAAAAAACACCAACGCCCACTCATGCCAAGCAAACTCAACAACCTTTCACGATTAGGCGAGGACAGGACAGGGTTGTTCGAGGACAAAGTGTGATTAGTTGTGAAAAGCTGCGACATCTTCAGTTGCTGTTGGTTAGTCGACACGTTACCGATGCCCATTCTAAAGATAAATGCAGAGTAATGGCTGCTAAAGAAAAAAAAACAGATCCTATTCAAAACAAAAGAGAAGCAGAAAACCGACGACGAACAGCGAGCAAGCAAAGAAAAAACATGCCAACAAAGGATGAAAATGCAAAGCAGCTGTAATTCAGAAATACACGAGCCAGCTGTGCCAATTCCAAGCATACAAGAAGGTATCAAGCTGCATGCAAAGCCAAAACGCGACAGGCTTAGCATGCAGTTCCATTACCCAAGTCCCGACCACAGTTAGTCAAAAGTACCTGACACCAAGACTGACACTGACACCGACACCGACACCGTCGAGCATCAGACTAGGAGAGAAGCCTGTAACGATCCGGCCAAAACCGGTTAAAGAAGGGAAGAGTGGGGAAGTAGCGGTGACTTCGTTACGTTGGTGAAAGCCACGTACGGTGGTAAGAAGCAATGCTAAGTGCTGGATGGGCCACACTGCGTCGGAGAAAAGTTCAACTCGTCAAGAAATTAACACAATCTCAATGTCAGACGAGCATCATATACACTATGTTACTACACCTTTTTGCACTCAAAATAGGCATCTTTTCATTCAATTTCGGCGAATTGCATTCAATTTTAGCGATCTCTCTATTCGAAGCAAATGAGAGATCGCTAAAATTGAATGCAATTCGCCGAAATTGAATGAAAAGATGCCTATTTTGAGTGCAAAAAGGTGTAGTATATCCATCTAACTCTCCTCAATGAATAGCCATTAGCAGTCATTACACAAATAGCTTTTTAGCCCCTTTTAGCTGATGATCTCCCCAGTCTCCACTCATTGACGTCCACCCTCTCCCCATGTCAATCCCACCCCATCCATCTACCATCGCCTCCCCCTTTTCCCCTTCATCCTCACCAGGTATCGTGTAGCTGACTTCCCCATACATTCCGGAATCAGCGTCCGTGGCTCTGACCTGAACCAGTTCCACGCCCGGGTCGCTGTGTTCCTCCACTGAGGCATAGTACACGTCCTGGGAAAAACAAAATCACACAATTATAGCCATCAGTGTATGGAAATGGGGAACAAAATCACACAATTATAGCCATCAGTGTATGGAAATGGGGAACAAAATCACACAATAGTGCCATCAGTGTCCGGAAAAGTGGTAGAGTGTTAGACAAAGATAGTGACTTCGTCATACATTTTCCCGTGGTTAACTGCCGGCTCCGCGCCACGCCCGCCCCGATCGGAGCGGGCCGGGGTCATGACCTCCAGCCCCGGGGCGGCAATGTCCCAAAATTTGTCTATTTGGGTGGGAAACGGCATCCAAATGAAATTCATTTTCCACTCTCACCACCATTTTTAAGAACAATTTTCCACTCCCAAGTCCCAACCAAGAAAACATATATTTTTTACCTATAGAAAGACAGTTGTGTGGATGCCCAGTTAGCATCAAATATTCTACACCCTAGAATAAAATGCATGCTTTTTGTCATTTCTCACTCCTTTTTGGATCTAATCGAATCAGCAGTTTTCCACTCTCTCCCCTCTTTTTGGTGGGTAATTTTCCCCTCTGACACCCAAGACAAAACTCAATTTTGGGACACTGCGGGGCGGTAGGTACTCGGCGGCCGGTCGTCCGTCCGACCGCGCGCAGGGGCGGTTATGCGCACGCGAGGAGGAGAGGCCGAAGTGTGACCGTCATAGTATAATAAACAATAACATGGCGGTAAGGGTTCTGGGGGGGGGGGGGATAATGTCATACGGCACACGCATGTATAAGCATCCATCCGTCCGTCCGTCCGTCCGTCCGTCTCACCTGCTCAAACTCCGGGCTCATATCGTTGACATTGACCACATTGATGACCAGGTGTGCAGTGCTGTTCCGCTGCGGCACGCCCGTGTCGAAGGCCATGACGTCCAGCTCGAACTGCGTGATGTTCTCGTAGTCGACCCGGGAGCGAACGGATAGCTCGCCTGCTCAGGACGCGGGGGGGGGGGTAAGTTAGCGTGCGAAAGGTCGGGTTTTGATATTAACATAGCAAACGGTTTGACTTTTATTATATTTTTGACTTTATTATATTGTATCGACATTTATTATATCGCTATCCTTCAACCCCAATCAATGTAATATTTTTAGGCTATGAGCTCTTAAATGAGACGAACATTTTGCCGAGCATTATTTTTACCGGTCATAAGTCTTCTCTAGCCTAACCTACCGCAACCTCACCCACGACACAGGTGTGTTTCAGGCTCATTTCCTTGGCGGATGAATATCTCATCGACACAAAACTAACTGACCCGGACGTGTTAAGATTAGCCCTCCCTCGCGTTGCGGTGGCATTAACCACGACACTCTAACACATATCCATCACAATGACGACATAAACCAATTAAAATACACAATTCACACTGTGAATTGTTCATTTATATTTTATGTCGGCTTAACCGGATGAAAGTGTCACTTGTGGCTAAAAAGAAAAATATATGCCTCGCATTACGTTTTTCTCAATAACTCTCATCAATCCTCAACCTAACCCCGGAGAGGTTGGATGCGCCCGCACCCTCCTCACCTGTGGCCGGATCCAGGCGCACCAGTCCTCCCTCCTCTGCGTGATATCTCCGTACGAGAGTATCCCTATCTGTCGCTCGAACCCGTCCGAATACAGTTCCGGGCGCTAGCTCCTCTCGTAGTTCAAAACTGAGCACGGGCCGCTCAGGAGTCCATGGAGGGGAGAATTCGGGGGCGAATTCGTTGACGTCGACAATAGTCACCAGAAGACGACCTGAGGAGGGGGAGGGCGGGGGGGGGGGGCGTGTTACGCAGCGCATATTACAGAAGAAAGACCTAGTAAGACAAGTCGCAGAGGGCAAGATGGGATTCAAAAGGTGTGCATTAAAAAGAATAATAGAAAAAAAGTATTAGTTGGCATGTACTGGGTATGTACAGCTTTGATCTGTCATGCAGATGTCGAGAATACCAAGCACCATAACTGAGCCTTAGGTCGAATAAAGCGAATGAATGAATGACTTGATGAAAACAAACAGAATGAATGTATAAATAAACACATGCTTTCAACTCCCCATTCTTCCAGTCTTCAATGACCCGTAGCCCACCCGTCTTCTCCTATCTGACTGTGAACTGACCCCACTCACTGACACATTACCCTGCCCCTGCCCCCTGAACCCTCCCCTATCACTGACCTGAACTCTGCTGGGGCGGGAAGGCGCTCGTATCCGTTACGGCCACGGCCAGTGTGACCACGGCAGCCTGATCGCGCATCAGAGGCTCCGCCACAGACACCCAGCCGTCCGAAGACACGTTGAAGAAACTCTGAAAACGGAGAGGGCCAGAGATATTAGCGCTAGAGCGCTAACGTTTGGGTTGTCGCGTGAAACTATTGAGAGATCCCAAACACAAAAAGTAGCGATATTAGTGCTAGCTCATCATCGAAACTCTGACAACACTCAAGATATTTATGCAAAAATCGCATAAAATCAGCAGTCGCCAACCAATTAACTCACAAAGCGGCCAAAGCGCGAATATATCACATCCCTATTCACTAGCCCACGGCACCCCCCCCCCCCCTACCTACCTTGTAGGCTCCGTTGGGCCGATCCACTTGTTTGCCGCTCTCACTGACTGCCGATTCAACCTTATCCAGACTGAAGACCAGATCCTGCGGAGAGGCTACGTCGGGATCGACAGCCGACAGCTGGTAGAACCGCGATCCGACGGCCGCGTCCTCTGACACCTGGTGGCGAAAGAGCGAACTATTCAGACACCTGGTGGTGGAGGAGTGAACTATTTAGACACCTGGTGGCGAGAAGGCGAACTTCTGACACCTGGTGGACGGAGTGTCAATCGCATAAGCTTTAGTTATGTCTTCACCGCTAGATGGCAGAAGCGAACAAGGTGTCAAATTGCTACGAGTTATCTCGAACTTCGCATTACGTAATCATCCTATTGTCATAGCATGGGTTGCCCTTGTCGTTCAAAGCAACCACCTATAGATGTCACTACGAGTCTACGCAGAAAAACTACGCGAAATGCCGGTAATTATAGTCACCGTGCCGGTAATCAACGGGAATCTCGTGAAACTTGCAATGGGCTCCTCCGCTTGAAAGAGTTAGGGTACGAGTTTTCGTTCCGAAATTTTATCTTTGCGCAGTGGCGATACAGTAACCAATGAGGTTTATCCGAGGTGCTGTTATTGCTAGTTGAAAACTTTACCCAATACCCCGCCTGGACGACGTGAAATACCGTCGGCCAAGGCAATGTTTGAACGGCCTCACGGGGCCTACTAATATACAAATGACGAGGAATGGTGAAAAGTAACAACAATCTAATGACAAGATTTATACGGTTTTCTTTGATATGAGTCTGCGTTCGTGATCTCGACTAGGGCCCAGGCCCGTGCCGCGCAGCTGGCCTACATATACGATGAACATTACGTCCTTTGCATCGCCATGATAAACATATTTCTACTGCCTGAAGTGACGCCTATTTCACTACTCGTATCCACTTGAATTCTATTACTGTATTTTCTAGCTTAGTATTATGCATGCAAATGCAATAGCAGCAATATTGCCTTTTCATGAGTCGCTTTCTTTTTTAGCGTAAAGATGAAAAAGTATGTACATCACAGCGGGAAGCATCTACGTAATATTGTGGTTAGAAATCCATACAAATTAATTGGTAAAAAATAATCATTGGAAAATAATACCCAATAACTACAAATCACTAGATAACGATATCTTGGTCTTAGCCTAATATCTATGTTAATTGCTTTATGTCAATCATAATGAAGATAACATTCAGTAAATCCACCGAAAATGAGAGTGACCCATGACCCACCTACTCCCCACCACTCCCCGTATTCTCCCTACCTCGGCTCGCTGCGTTCCCGGCGTAAAGTGGGGACTCTTGTCGTTGGAGTCGATCACCATCACAGACAGGGTAGCCGTGCCCGTCTGGGCCGGAGAGCCTGCGTGAAAATGGGGGGGGGGAGTTAGAGGGGGTAAGACAGAGGGGTCAGAGGGGCGAGTGGGTTACAGTCGATAAATGGGGTAGGGGAGCGGTAAAATGGAGATCAAACTACGATGAAATGTGGCCTAATCCAACAAAACAAAACAAAAAACGATGAAATGTGAAAAGCGATAATGTGAACAGTGAACACATATATTGCACAAACCGGTTTCGATATTACTTCATCAGTGTGCAAATATATAAATAAAACACACAAAATACAAAACAGAGACGAAATAGGTACGATGAAATGGTGGCTACTGGCTGGTGTTTTAACACGGGAGATGCTTTATAAAATCAAAAAGACGGAGCCGATGAAGTATGGTTTCATATTGCAGCCATCAAAAGAAATACGATTTATCTCAAATTAATTCCCTTTATTTTAATTCAATCGACCGGCCTTCCTGCTCTTTGTTCCTTCAAAATAAACTTGCACAAATAATCCCTGTCATGAATCTCATATATCCACAAATCCCTTTACCCCACAATCACACCCCTACCAATACCTTCTCTCCCCCATCACCCCTCCCCCCCCCCCACCTACCTGAATCCACGGCCAGCACTTCAATACTGTACTGGGCTCTCCTCTCGTGATCCAGCCGCCTGGCCAGTGTTACCACGCCCGTGCTCTGTTCCACAGAGAAGTCTTCGTAGGCACCCCTCTGCAGTCGGTAGCGTATGGCGGCGTTGGCAGCTGTGTCTCTGTCGCGGGCGGCCACGCGCTGAACGACCGTGCCTGAGAAGTGTGAGAGGGGGGGGGGGGTCAGGTTAGGGGAGGGTAGAAAAAATAGCGTGCGCAATGTACATTTTAGTGTGTACAATATGGAAAGAATGGGAACTACAAAATTCTGGACGATGTGCGCATTCTAGGAAAATTAATGTCAACTAGCATGCTATCAAGATTTACCCTCAATAAGCATAATCACCCCAGAGTATCAGTATATAACCTCACGTCCTCCCTCACCTACTATAAAAAGGCTTTGGTGGTGCATGGTGGTAAAAAAAATGGTGGTGCAGCATGGCTCGTCAATCTGCTTACACATTGGCACATTCTCTGACATACATCATATTATCAACTCCCAATCCTTCTCACTAATGGGTACACTCTCTCGCATAAATCACAAACTCTCCCATCCTCCTCACCAATGGGTACACTCTCTGACATACAACTATATCCCTCTCTCCTTATCAATGGGTACAGTCTCTGACATACAGCTCACGAATTCCCATGCTCCTCACCAATGGGTACACTCTCTGGCAGGACGGCCTGGTACACTGTCTTGGAGAATTCTGGTTTGTTGTTGTTGGTGTCAATGATTGTCACCTCGACTGGTACAGAGACTGAGTGAACTCCGTCAGTCACCTGAGGAAAGGAGATGCTCGGTCAGTGTAGCACGCGATAGCAAACCAATCCGCAATTATTGAATTGGGTGTGCTAAGGGTAGATTCAACGCAAATGTTTCTCGTGTAAAAAAAAAATGTAACCGTAAATATGGAGCTAATTCAGCAGTAGAAGAAGAAACACAAAGCTGCAAAGCTGAACACGAAACAAAAAAGAACTCACTTAACTCTCATGAGTCATTCATAGTTGCAGGTAACCGTGAAACTGGTCGGACAGCAATTTTAGTCAACTTCAGGTAACGTTCAAATTCAGTTCAGTCAACTTCAGAGCAATCCACTACCAAAAATAGTCCAACGAAATTTACAAGGGATTTAACTGCCTACAAAGTGACACATTACCTTTCATTTTAATTATTACTTACTAGTAAGTAGTAACTTACTATTCCTGACTTTCGTAAATTTACTAACACAGTGCACACCATCGTAAAAAAGATGACACACTTCCCAATCACTCACCTCAGCCACAAGGGCGACCATCTCCCTGCCCTGCACGTCATCCAGGTCAATGCCCTCCGTCTTGTTAACGGTGACCTCCCCCGTACTGGGGTCAATACGGAACACACCACCCTCCAGTAGAGAGTAGGTCAGCTGGGAGGTCACGTCACGGTCCGCCGCCTGCCGGGTCAAGGGAACAGGTCAGAGGGGTGACAGCACTGGGGGCAATGGATCTAAGGATAAATTAGGGCTGTCTTCCCAAATCATAGCATTCTCGACATGATCTATTTTTGTCTTTGAAATTTAGCCTGTATTTTCTGACCGGGTTATAGCGTGATTGACATCTCTTCCATCCAAATAAAAATGAATGCCTAATTGTAAAAACGCAAAAAATATTCGATACTCGATGCACATTTAATACCTAGCACGGAACTCAAAGAAAGCTCTTACACCCGTCAAGAGCCAATCACACACCGCTCTTTCACGTCTCGCCCTGTCCAAGTCCATGCTTTTGTAAACCACTAGTATCAGCATTCAGGAAGCAGTAGTTATAGGGATCACGCTGGCACTGGGGGGAGGGGGAGGGGGGCAACACAGGGGCTCACCCCAGGAGGGGGAAGGGACACCTACCTCGACCACCAGCGGGGGGTCAAACCGGCGGGCGCCCTCTCTGATCACGGCTCCGTACATCTGTCGTCCAAACCGCGGAGTGTTGTCGTTTGTGTCCAGAGTGACGATCTTCAGCGGCACGGACGAGCTGAGACCCTGGCCGGCCTCGTCGGTCGCCTGGGCGCGGGATGAGGGGGGGGGGGTGTCAGAGGGGGGAGGTTAGGGGGGACAGATCAGGTACTGTGGTGGCGTGGGGAGTTTGGTAGGGGTAGCTAGTATCCAGTGTGCACTACAGCTGTTGTGGCCAGAGCACAAAGCAAACATTACTTGACAATTACCGGTAAATGAGTATGAAAAGTTCGGGGTAGCCATGAACACGTAACCGAAAACTAGCGCCAATTAAAGGTAGTGTGCCACCTTTGAAAGATTTCCCGTTTTATTTTTTCTAGGATAAGAAGCTTCTGTTTTTACCTAATATCGCAAAAAAAATCAAAAATGGGCCTGGAATAGTGCCTTTTTCGCCTAAAAGTTTATCGGTTTTTAGATATGTATAACAACTGTAGTGGGCTCACCTGCAAACAGGCGTCGGGCAACAATCGCGAATGCGGCGCACTTGTGACAATAAGCAAAGGTCATTATAGTGTTACGACCATACGACGTACGGGAATGAGTTATCAGCTGTCTAATCGTAGACAACACAATGTCGAGCCTTAAACTGTAAGCCTGTATTGGTATTGTTTCTTAAATTTGGCTGTCGAACATTAATTTGTGGTTTGAAATATGATTTTATGTAAAATAATTGATATGAAAGAGCCGTCTCTTAAGTTATGACCCCATTACACCACACGCAAGTGGCAGAAATGACAATGATCAGCTGACGCATTTTTCTTGGCCGAAGTCAGAGCGCGCGGCCCGACGCACCACGCGTATTTGGAAATTCCGACCTCGACGAGCATCAGAAGCCACCTAACAGGCGTGTTCGAAACCGCTCGACCGTTCCGTGCTTCTATCCTCAGGATACCGAAATCCTTCTCCTCCACCCCGCAACCCCTCTCCGGGCTGGACAGGCATCTTTATCTCATGCGGGCTGCTCCCTTGGAGCGGCACCGCTGCTCCTGAGGGAGCGCACCCCGTAGCCGGGTGCAGTGAGTGCCTTGGGGCTGGATGGCCTGTCCTCTGGACGGGCTCAGCCCCGGCGACTTACTAGGGTGCCTGCCCAGACCAATGTCTCCCCCTAATTCCTATCATCCTTCCGGCTCTGCAATGGTCTTGTCGACCGAAAGGGCCTAACCCAACAAAACAAAAACAAACAAACAATTCGAAACCGCAGGAGATGATGATGAACGGGTTTATCGAAACTTGATTGGATGAGCCTATCGGTAATAGCGATTTTAGTGTGTGCATTTATTGTTCATAGTGGTGTGAAATGTGGTTGGGGTACGACCGACAACCCGTCGGGGCGAATTTCGCACTGGGGTACTCAAAATTTGAAGAATTTAAGACGTTTCCATAAGTTTTGAAGGTATGGATAAGTTCTAAAAATCCGGTTCTCCTTATCCGGGTCATTAACTCCATATGGTCCAAGAAAGCTGGCACACTACCTTTAAATTATGGTCTCACTTCAAAATGACTCAACTCAGCTCTACGGTAAATACTGGGGAACACGATAAGAGACTATAAGATACGGATTCCAGCAGAGAGATAACAGAGCGACTGGAGTAAATAATAATAGTCTTGCCTCCACAGTGAGAAAGTAGTCCCTACAACCTAGCCTTGACAGTCTGAGGAAGTACTCCCGCTAGCGACTGCCCATCTTCTTACCTCGACTGTGAGGAAATAGTCTCTCTGCGTCTCGTAGTCGATACAGGGCGGTGCTCCGGGCGTATCACAGGGCGCCACCACCACCGTACCCGTGCGGGGGTCGATGGTGAACCTGAAACCACACACATACACGAGGAGACACATTAGCGGCGAAATGTTGAGTAAGTGACATGATATACCGAACTCATCAACACATTGAGCACGGGACAGAATACACGGAACACATAATGAAAACGCAGATCAAGATTTCCGTTGGTATGTTGACAGGCTACATGAGTACGCCCTTCATTCTGGTATACATTCAGAATGCTCGTCCGAAGAAAAATAACAGTCCCTCGTTTAAGTCTCGGTTAAGTCTCTCCTAGTGATATCTCCTTTTAATTGGCCCCGTCTTCTTTCCCCTACGCTTTTCATCCGGATCCCACCAAACCTTCCTCATTTCTTTCTTTCCTGGCTTCTTCATACTTTCCTCTTTCTCTCCCTCTTTCATGCCCTTCCCTCTCCTTCACTCTCTCTTTATCTTCCTTTCTTATCTCACCTCTCTGAGCCGGCGCCGCTCAGCTGATAGACGATCCCCTCCAGTCCAAACAGACCCGAGTCGCGGTCACCGGCCGACACGGTGGTGATTATAGTGCCCGGGGGAGACATCTCAGACACCTGGGGAGAGGGTACAGATATCTCAGACACCTGGGGAGAGTGTAGAGACATTTCAGACAACTGGGGAGAGTGTCGGTGGTGATTATAGTGCCCGGGGGAGACATCTCAGACACCTGGGGAGAGTGTAGGAGATATCTCAGACACCTGCCGAGAGTGTAGGAGACATTTCAGACACCTGCCGAGTAGGTGGTGATAATAGTGCCCGGGGGAGACATCTCAGACACCTGCCGAGAGTGAACACATACATTTTAGACACCTGCAGAAAGTGTAACAAAAATCTAAGAAACCTGGGAAGAGTGTGCATGCAGACATTGCAAACACCCGGTGAGTGTTAGGGCATCTCAAACACCTGGGAAGAGCGTACGGAAATTTAAGACACCTAAGGAGAGTGAGGGATATTTCAGACACCTGCGGAGAGACTAAATACAGGCATTTCAGACACAAGCTGTAGATAATGTGCAGACAGACAGCTCAGACACCTGCGGAGTGTACAGACATTTCAGACACCTGCGGAGAGTAAAGGAGATATTCAAGACATCTCTGCCGTCCAAAGGAAGAAAACCGTAAGCGCCATTTACCAAATTTTACAGGAGAGCACTTTTTCGGTTTTCATTTAATACACTCTTACAGAGTGGATGTTTATTGTAAAATTAGGTATAGAAATGATGCTTTCTTTATCAGCAACCTACTGATATGCTTTATTTCCCTCAAAATTGAATACTTTTTGCTATATTTCAATAAATGCTTTTTTCCTTAGTCAACAAGTCAACATTTAGGTGCATCTGTCAAGTCAAATAAACGTATGTCAAGCCTGAATCTCACGGATGGCGGATACGCTTATTTACCTTGGTCACCATGGGCCGAGAAAAAGTGGCAAAAAGACGTATGATGTGACTTACGTCTTTTTGTTTTTGATACTAACCTCCGTCTTCCTACTCAATGACCGGCCAAAAAGCGTAAGTGCACGATACGCCTTTCTGCCCTTTGTCATTTCAGCCGAATTCGAGATAAAGTGACAATAAAATAGCCGTATGTCGTACCAGAAAATGAATGAAATGAATGAAAAGGAAAGAATGAATGAATGAAAAGCGTATTAAGTACCTACACATGAATCCGGGGCAACTGCGTAAAATAATGCGGCAAATGAGTGTAAAAACGGAGTCAGAGTCGGGGTCAGTCGAAGTCAACAATTCTGACAGGAGTTGGAGTCGGGATCGGAGCAACTTTGGAAGCCGGAGTCGGAGTCGCGACTTCGACTCTGCATAATTCATTGCCTGGACAGCGACACGCAGGGATGCGGAGTCGGGGTCGGAGTTTGAGTAGGAGTTGGTCGGAGTCTACAGTTCTTCACGAAGTCGGAGTTGGAGTCGATTTTGGGAGCCGGAGTCGAGTTACCGAAAATCTCGACCGCTCAGCCTTGGTCAAAACAGAAGCGTCGCTTTCCTTCTAGCTCAGGATGTACCGCACTGTTGTCTTGGCTCTGTTCTGCAGAGCAAGCAAGAAGTCTGTGGCGGGAGATCAGCCCCAGCAGATTCTTGCATGGCTCGTCGATTTTCTTGTGCAGCATACGGGTAAAGATCCGGAGGAGATTGCCTTCTCTTTAGTGCTCGAAGGTACGGCTCTCGCGAAATTAAGCGGTAGGTTTGCACTTTTACATTTCCGGTTATATCTCAGAAACTAATCGAACTACGATGAAGCTATTTCACGATCATGGCCGGCTTGTGAACCAACAAGTCGATCGCATCTTCAACACTTATAGGCGACGAATGTATAGCCTGAAGTACACTAAATTTTCTAGGTGCAAACTGCAAAACCTACCGTTAAAACCCGCGAGACCTGTACCTGTAATACGGTGCCGCCGGCGGATACGACATGCTGACGGGACGCTATCGTGTCACAGTCACACTTAATTGTGTGAGTTCCACCTCCTCGCCTGTCCTTAGGAGTGGCTGACTGCGTACTTGACTGCTCCACCCCGTTGTGTATCGAAGCATCGTTGCAGGGTAGGCGGTGGTCCGTACCATAACCGGCTGCCCCCTGTCCACCCCGGTTCACGTTGTGATGACGGAAACCGGGCTGATGCCGGTGGCCGCCCGCCGGGCTGTTTTAGAGGCCAAGCTCCTCGCCAAGGCATACGTGCTAATCGAAATGACCCGCTCAGGTCAGCCGCGGAGGCGGAGGGGCGACACCGGCTGAAATTCGTGACGGACTGGTGCGAGGCCGTGTGCGATGCGTGACGGGCCGCTGGGATCGTCCCACCGTTCAGTCACCCTGCAGCCAACCCGCTCACCGCCGTGGGAGGTGACTGCCTGTCCCCACGTTACATTCGGCCTGGACATCGAGATTCTGCGACTGGGAGCCTCGGCCGATGGTCTGCGCCGGGCGGCGCGGCGACTTCTGATCTTTCTTCTCCAACGAGCCACCTGGGTGTGGACGGACGGTTCGGCGGACGCTGGAGTCCACTGCGGAGGAGCTGGAGTGTTCGTGGACTGGCCGGACGACTGACGAGCCGCGCTCCCGTCGACGTCCACCAGCTCCGCGCCGGGCACTGAACCAGGTCCCAACAGTGTTTACCCAAAATCGTCAAAAGTCCCACTACCGCCTGCGCCAGGTGCGAAGATGAAAGATGCACCGCGGCCAGATGCAGCATCTGTCTTGAAGAGGCGGACACCCTGGCGCACGTGCTACTGAGGTGCATCAGTCATCACCCTCATGACCTGCGGTTTTGCGTGCTGGGAACAAACCACCCGACGACCGAGGAGCTGCGTAGCGCCGACGTGGTGGCGGCTTTGGGGGGCCGCCTTCGTCTCCCTTCAGAGCCGATTGGCTACCCCTCTTTGGGCCGCAGAGAGACAAACAACAACAGCTGAGCTCCCCGGCCGGCCATGTCTTCTCCAGCTTCAGGACGGAGCTGGCCGCGCTCCGCTCAGCCCTGGACCACATGCGAGCGAGACCATACGCAGCATGCGAATCTTCCAACAGTTTTTTTTTTTGTACGGACTCCCAGGCAGCACTCGCGGCCCTCCGGGAGGGGGTTGGGGGGTGACCCAAAAGTCCCCGCTGGGTACCGTCGTATGGATGGGTTTGGCAGCACTGGTCGTCCCGCCCCATCACATCCACCTGCAGTGGGTGCCGTCCCGCTGCAGCATCGACGGGAATCAGCGCGCCGACCAGGTCGCCAAGGAGGCGGCGACGCTCCCCAAGCAGCGGTCCAGGTGGATGTCGGCACCGCCCACCGCGCGGTTATCAGAATAGCATGCGACCGCGCCGTCGCCGCCTGGCCGGACGGCTGGTACCCGGGACCGATTGCCACCGCCGCGCCGATGGCGGAGGAGGACCGCTCTTTAGCCGAAGACGTTCACCAGCTCTGTGCGAGCTACTGGTCGGGGCCCCGCCAGAGCCTGCACTGGATCGTATGGAACTCTACCGTGGAGTGCTGCCAGTGCCCCGACACCGATTGCGCGGCGGGCCGGTGCACCGTGTGCCGACAGGAGGCATACACTCCTGTTGTTGTTGATTGTTGTTGATTTTCCCTCCGGCTGCGGGTGGCCCCGCGGCGTAGCCTCATCGGCTCTGGAGGGCCCTGAAGGCGGCCACCAGGGCCGCCACCACGTCACTGCGCCAGACCTCGTCGGGTGTTGGTAAGATGTTCCTTACGGCCGGGATTCTGAGGCGAACACCCATCAGGCCCGGGCACGTGAGCAGGATGTGCCGGGGGGTGTCCGCCTCTTCGCCGCACAGCGGGCACCGGGCGGCCTCGCATAGCAGGTCCCGGCATTGGGCGCAGGCGGCTGAGGGGCTCCGGCCGATGGAGTGCAGGAACTGGGTCGATCCACTCCAGTGGCCAGTCCGGATCTGGTGGACATCGATGGCTGATCGCCGATCCAGGTTGGAGATTGGGGGCAGGTATCTCGTACCCATCAGCTCACGGTACCAGCCGGTCGCCGCTCTGCGTGTCGGGTCCGGGTATGACGGTCTGTCCCTGGCGCCCGGTCCCTGGCTAGACAGTAGACGGACCGCAGCCTTGTAGATGGTGTTGACGTCGATGGAGGCGATTTCTTGTTCCAGCGCCGCCGCCTCTCCCGCCAGCACGTCCACCGCCTCGTTGCCTGGGATCCCACAATGGGAGGGGACCCACTGCAGCGTCACGTGGCGGTCCGGTGCAGCGATTTCCAGCAGGCGGCTCCATATCTCCGCCCCCTTGGCCGTCCTCTGGGCCGAAGGCCCCTCTCTCAGTGCAGCCAGGGCAGACTGTGAGTCAGTACAAATAAACGTATGTCCATCGAGCTTGCCATTTTGCTTGGGGACGGGTATACTGACAATGGATAAAAACCGTAAGTCCATCGTACGTCTTTTTGCCATTAGAAATTCGGCAGGGTGACCAGGAAAATAAACGTATACGCCCACATACGGCTGGCCGAAATTGTCGGACAATCCTTTCCAGAATCAAGAATCAAGAATCAAGAATCAAGGTTGTTTGGGCTCTGGAAGAAGACGTGGAAGATAAACGTAAGTGCATTTTTTCGGTTTCTACCAAGGCAAATAAACGTATATCCATCTGTAAGTTTATTTTCCGTTGTACCATGTTGACAATGTATGGTGGCAAATAAACGTAACTGAGCACTTGCGTCTTTTATCCATGGTTACTCCGAGTTTTAGCCGATTTTTCGTTGATCATACGTTTTTTTGTCAAAGATACGTTTATTTGCCAGTATTATAAAATGCTTTATGTGACATAAGGTTATTTTGAAATATTTTATTCTTGTATAACTTGGTATAAAATCATTTAATATCTGTGTAATGTATATGGTTAGATGCAGAATAACATGACGATTCCAATGATACCAATAACTCATTTTCGGTAAAAGTGGCGCTTACGGCTTTCTTCCTTTGTACGGCAGATCTGCCGAGTGTACAGAATCAGATACATATTCGGACACCAAGCCGGGTGAATGCACAAACATTTCACACGCCTGAGGAGAGGGTACGAACATTTCAGACACCTGCGGAGAGTGTGCGGATATATCAAAAACCTGTGAAGAGTGTTCAGACATTTCATACGCCTGCGGATACTGAGGAGAATGATAGCTCATACCTTAGCTTTTCGTTTTCCTCGTATCATTTCCATAATCTATCTGCTTGGAGTGTTTTATACGTGCTGTATAGGACTTTGACCTCAATAGGAACACACCGTCAACGCTTACATTCTAAAAGGTACAACAACCTTAGTATAACTAAAACTGCGAACTAAACTACACTAAACTCCACTGACCTGCGCGACGTAGGCGTCCTGGCTGAACCTGGGCGGGTTATCGTTGAGATCACTGACGGCCACGGTGACTGTGGCCGTGGTGGCCAGACGGTCCGGGGTGCGACTCTCCTCAGCAACCAGCTGGTGAGAGCGGGGGAGGGGGAGAGACGGCGTGAGTAGAGCGGGTGAACAGAGGGGGTGAGCACGAGCCGAGAAACGGCAGACTATGCTGGTCTGAAGTGGAAGCAACAAACTAGACTGAGCACCAGACACGGACGCCGAGATCTATGCATTATGCAATATTATACTGCTAATCATGTCATTAGCTTTTTGTTGTTATATTAAAACTATCAATACGGCAAATTGGTGGGAATTACATCTACTAGTAGAATCGGAATTGTATCTTCTCACTTTTGAAAAGCATGGCGCAATACGCTTGCAGACATAATCGACATAATTACATATCAAGAACACGAAGACAATCCATGCCACCGTCACTCGCTCTTACCAGCAGTATGAACTTCCTCTGGTTGGGGTTCTCATAGTCGAGCGGTCCACGCGCCAGTCGTACGCTGAGGGCACTGCTGCCAGTGCCCGAGGAGGGCTCCACACTGAACGGACCCGTCTCGTCCAGAAGACGTACTGTGAACGCGCTGCTCACACCCTGTAGCGAGAGAAACGGGGAACGTTAGAGCATATCATAGGGAGACAGATGAAAGGATATCAGATCGTGTTAGGGGAAAGGCGAGGGAGATACCACGTGAGGAGACGGGATTCTGTCGAGGGCGTAGGGAAAGGGGAGGGTATGATTTATCACGATGCAATGAGAATCGGAAACAATCCCTGATTTGAGTGGCCAAAGGCTAGGATTATTTCTTGCATTTAAGTTTGGGCTCTCCCTGAAGTATTCTTTTTTAATATCAGCCCGGTTTCCGAAAACATTACTAAAACATATTCAGCTCGACTACGTGAATCTCATTCAGTATCATTCAATCATATAATTATGCGTTAACTACTTTACAATAAGCTAACATTAATATCGTCAGTCAGGCAGAAGAGAAATAAATATTCAAACATACCACGTCGGCGTCAGTGACCAGGATGTTCAGTCCCGGCAGCGGAGTGCCGTCCCGCAGGTTCTCACTGATCGTTGTCGAATACTCCTGTCAAACAAAAATGATACAGAACATGGTACATCATCAAACACTTGTCACATTATTCGCAAAGATGCGTCTCGGGCGACGAAATTGAGCCTCGCTCGTGCAAACGGAAACCCCGATAGATTGATGTCGACCGCCCTCCTAACCGGTCCCCATCGGAGCACCAATTTAAGAACAATTAGCCCAACAGGTCACTCTCCGCCCACCACTATACCTTAACACCCCAAACAGCCCAAATACGACACCCAAAACACCTCAACTACAATAGAAAAGCCCAATATTCTAACGAATAGTGTTTGTCTATTTCAAACAGCCTGCGGTTAAGGTATACGATACCCCAAACACCCCAAATACGATACTAGACTTCGAAACACCCCCGACTACGATACCTGTTGACTGAAGCGAGGCGGTTCATCATTGGCGTCTCGTACGGTGACCGTAATGTCAGCGGTGGCCTCCGTCAGGGGTCCCCGCAGTCGGCGACCCGACTCCACCTCAACAGCCTGGTGAGGGGGAGGGGGGGGGGGGTCAGAGGTCAGTCGGCGGCCCGACTCCACCTCAACAGCCTGGGGAGGGGGGAGGGGTGGGGAGATCAGAGGTCCCCGCAGTCGGTGGCCCGACTCCATCTCCACAGCCTGGGGAGAGAGGGAGGTCATAACAGAGCCATGAGTATTGAGTATATTAAGGTTCGGATCGAGTTCAGTAAATTAAATGTGGAAAAAATAAAAAACTTTTTAAATAGCAGCAATGTGCATATCTTAAAATACATTATTGATTGTCAAATTCGTTCATTATCAATGAATGTCATGGCAACTTTTCACAAAAGGCAACAAAATGGGTACAATTTCGGACCTGCTACAAACACAAGAAAAGCCAAAGCATTTGACAAAACATGTCATCATCATCATCATTAGCCCATAATAACTAAATACGCACTTACTATAGCAGCAGCAGCTCTAGGCCATTATAAACCTCATCAATTGACACTACCGGTGGTTTCAACTTCCCTAGACTGGCACAGCAATCCACCGACTCACCTTGACTGTGAGATGAATGGCGCCGCCGCGCACCAGATCCGACTCTCGGTCCAGTTTTTTGGCCGTGCTCAGCACGCCCGTCTCCTCGTCCAGCGAGAAAAACTCGCCAGGGTCTGCCAGGGCGAGAAAATGAGGTGTGAATGGTAGGAAGGCTTTGTGATGGATGGGGGTAGGTGTGCGAGCACGAGCATCTTTACGAAATACCATGCGGCAAGATTACTGAAGTCCGTTAGTCGAAGTGCATACTGCAGATACATCTCAGCTTCAGCAGTTCCCAGCAGGCAGACTAGGCAAGGAAACCAACAACTATGAGCAGTAAAATCACACCTCCATCTAGCCTTTATGTCATCCCAATTCATCCTGCTACCCTCTCCGCCTGTCCAGGCTTCTCTCTCCCTCGCTCGTTCCTTTCCATCTCTAATTCTGAACTACCCAATATCCATTTTGAGGATTACGTGTCACACCTTCCTCTATTCCCTTTTTCCCTCCCTCCTTCCCTCCTCCCACTCTCTCACTTTCCACCATCTCGAAGACGACAGGTCGGGCCGCGCCGCTGTCACCGTCGGCCGCCGTCACGGTCAGTACGACCGTACCGATAGCGGCTCCCTCGTCCACAACGGCCGTACGACTGCCTGAGAACGACGGTGGGGAGTTCTGCACGTCCTGAACGCCGATCAGAGCACGGCCGGCGGCGGTGAAACGGCCGTCCTGTGGGCGGGGGGGGGGGGGGTCAGTGAATGAACGAATCGCACGTGGGTGGAAATATGTCCAACGACAAGCTGGGTAAAACAACTGGGTCGATGGTAAAGCTGGATTTCCTAGAGACTAAGCTAAATCACAAACCATGTATTCATGTATGCTTGATACGTCCTTTCCCTACACGCTAACAAAAACAAAACAATGACAAAAGCATGTGCCTCCTCGTCAACATAACCAAACACATCGTCTCCACAAGTATCAATCACGATAATGAAACCTTCCCTCCTTCCCTCTCCTCACATACACCCTTGAAATAGTACCTATAGTTCGTTTTTTTCAAAAGGACGCTGGCTCAAAGTTCAATATCGAATCTCTCACGTGAGTTTTGGCAGCTTCAGTGTCTGGCCAAGAATTTCTTACCGAAAAAATAATCGATTTCAAATTGTGCACGGTAAGTAGCTGGAAATTGTTTCTTTAAAATGAACATACTATGATGACGTCACTGGTGGCAGTAGGCACCCAAATGTCCGTGCAATGGAACAATTGTCAACGAATTTGGGTGAAACTTAGTTTTTCACTGTTGCCGAGCTTATAATCGAGTAAGCGGTTCCGTCCATGATAGTTATACGTTACATTGCAATACATGTTGGACAGCATGACGTCACCACTGGTCTCATATCTGGTTCCAAAACGCACATATGGAAATTATCGGGAAGTAATCACATGTTAAAATTAGTCGACGTTCGATTTTCTCAGGTTCAGTTTTTGCTCGTTTTGCTCGCTAAAACACGTGCTTGTTCGAAAAACATACTTGGAGCCAGCGTCCTTTTGAAAAAACGAACTATAATAACCTTTCCTTACGGCAAATACTTGAGATAAATACATACCGACGCGACCAGCGCCACGCTGATCCTGGGATCTCCGGTCGGTGAGAGTACCAGCGGCCGTTGTAGCACCAGCGAGCCCACGTACAGCTGAGAGGTACTCTCCAGGGCCATCACTGTCAGCAGCTCACAGGCGCCCTCCGACTGGCGGTACACGGAGCAGACACGGCACGAGTCGTGGTTAGGTGGGCCGCCTGGGCCGGTTAGTTGTGAAGGTCGGTAAGTGTATGCAAGGAGTTCGTGCAGTAAGAAGTCATACACTGGTGCGGTAAAAGTTCGGTAATTAGAGTTGCGCAATTTGTAGGGTAAAAGAGTGATCTCAATATTATGAGCATTTATTGCTATATTAAAAACTTCCTTTGTATGTTATAACTTTAACCATCAACTGGATTACCACGCTGACCAGACTCCTTAAACTCACGCAAACACACACATGCATACGGTAATTTGACGCAATCTACTCATTAAAACTATCACAGCTCAATAAAAAATACCTATCAAAATAACCGAAAGAAAAAGGCTAACACCGTCGAAGAGCAAACACACAATAATAAAACTCGACAATCAATACGATACTTCAGACCCCACAGCTTTGTCGCCGACATACCGAGCTTTTCGGGTCACAGGTGACGTTCAGGTTCTCTCCGACCAGGTCGGGGTCAGTGACCTCGATCTTTTTGATGACCGTGCTCCCGACCGGAGCATCTTCGCGTAGTTCGGCTTCGTACAGTGCCTGGGGGCAGGTCAGGGGTCAATGAGGTCAGGGCTGGAGTTAGAGATTATAGCAGCGGTTAAGAGGGATCATGGCAAGGCAGATAGGAAACAATATGGTCAGATGGGTCAGTTAGCGAGGTCGGGGTAGGGGTCAGAGGTCGAGGTAGGGGTCAGAGGTTAGATCAGGGGCTAAAGGGATCATGGCAGGGGCAGAGGTCAAGGTAGGGGTTTGAGTTCAAGACAGCAGTTACAGGCCAGAAATCATGGATCGTCATACTGAGATCTCAACACTTCAACCGCAAGACGTTAGGGTTGAAGCCTCAGTCTGCAGATGCGATTCAACATTACCCCAGCTACTAAGCCGGTGCTGGAAACAAGTCCCTTTTCTAATCTCAAGCAGGACGTCTACAAGCACTGCTGCAAGCACTTTTCACTATTACCCAATCACTTCGCTCACCTTTTTAAACACGGGCTCGTTGTCGTTTTCGTCGACAACGATGACGGTGATGGGCACGGAGACCTTGTTGTTGTCACCGCCCTCCACACGGTCCTCCAGGGTCACCTGGAGCTTCAGCTGGGTGGTCGTCTGTGGATGACAACAAACGTGGTTGACGAGGGTATATATGCCAAGGTGAGTATGAAATGATTTAGAGATGGGATTAAAAACGAGAGTGCGTTACAAGGGTAAGCTGGTAACCAAAGGTTTCTTGTCAATACTTCAAACAACAGTTGCTAGACTTGAAAAACAAATCTGAATTCTCTGACAGTTTTTCCAAAAGCTGCCTGAGATCAGTATTCAGTACCTATGTCGATTATTTCATGCAAGCACATTCAAACAGAGCTTAGATATATAGAACCAATCACACTTCAACAATAGGATTGTCGTTCTTAGTATTATAGCATGAGTTACATGTGTCCTTAAACTTGTCAAATATTACCTCAGGTAGGTACGCGTATTGTGGGTAATTGTACCTGTAGGTAGGTACTCACAAGAGCAATTATGCAAAAAAAAAACAATCAAGCTGGGTTAAATGATTTAAAGCAACCTAACGTTCTACCCTTTCCACATCTCACGCGCTGACAGGTCAGCATCCTCTCTCTCACCTCGTGGTCGATTCGTTTCTGCACCGACACCACGCCGGAGCGCGGGTTGACCTGGAGTACGTCGGTGCCCTCCAGACCATACAGAAGGGGTGAGCCCTCTGGGTCCACTCCTGGGGTCACGATAGGGGTGCGGTTAGGTGATTTAGGTCGGACTCGGAGAATATCCAATGGAATAGCGAAGAAGGGTCGGACAAGCTAGTATGGAGGTCACAACAAAGAAACCAGAAAATTTAGTAGGTACAAAACACTGAGCAGGTAGGTATCACACAATGCATGGGAGAATATCCAATTAAGGAAAAAAGGATAGACACAAAAATGATGCCAATGGCAACAACACAGCAAAAAAAAAAAATCAAAATAGCCAACAAAACAGTGTCAAATATCGACCAAAAGTGACAAATCATCACACTTTATAGCTGAGTGGTGAATATTGGATGAAGCACTTAGCAGAACAAAGTGAAACTTAATGATCTAAGAAAAGGGTGGTACTTACCTACCTAATTGATATTTCATACCATACCTGGCAAGGTCAGTAAGTTGTAGCACACACTGATCCACTCACCTTTTAGGGTGTAGACTTCCTTTCCAACAGGAGTGTTTTCCGAAATCACATGGTAATCCATGTTGGCCTCAAAGCTAGGTGGTTCATTGGCACTTACTGCTGCCATATGGCAGCATATGACCAAAAGTGCCTTCTGTATAAACATTCTGCAAAAACAACATAAGTCATCATAAAGTAATTGGAAGGACCAGTGAAAAAAAAACTAACAACGAGTGCTCAGCTGAACGAGTGCTTAGCGAGATGTAGCTGAATCTCAAGGAGGCACACACAATACAGTTAAAATATCAAAACATCGGTTGAGAACATTTCAGGGCAAATATTTTTGTGATTGCAGTTGTGAGTCGTGAATCATGACCTACTGTTTAACTCCTCTATTTATTCACCTATTTGGGGTTCCCTTGGCCTGAGACTTAAGAGTAGCCAAAATGATAGAGGAACAGGGAGTAGGGAGGGGACCTGCATGGAAACAGCTTGCCTGGTGGATGAGAAACCGGTCACTAGAAAAAAAATACACTTTATGCCGAATATCTCCGGCATAGTGTCAGGATGGTGCGTGCCGAAAATTTCAGCGCACGTGCGGGGTAACTTTGCATGCGCCGAATTCAGTGCATGGCGGCCGCTGAACTTTTCGGTGCAGGGCGGCCGCGGATTTTTTTTTTGCGAATGGCGGTCACAGAATTTAGTCGGCACACTGGTCAATCTAGCAGCAGATTTCGAGAGGGTTCGGGACGAGATGTCCCCGTCCTGGTCATGTGCTCGAACTGGCGAGCTGCTCCGAGGATATTCAGCGGATTGCGGCCACCCAGGTGAGTCATCCACCCTCGGGGCGGAGATGGGTATGGAAGACCTGATTCAACATTGCTGAGCGTCATGAACTAATACTGCAGTGGGTTCCTGACCACTGCGGTAGTGCCCACTGCGGTGCCGAGCGGAATGAGAGCGCGGACGACCTGGCGAAACAAGCGGCCGCCCTGCGCTCCGACGCCCGCTCACTGACCCGGACGGTTCATTGTGCGGCCCCAGCCCTCGCGTCAATGGCGCGACCACTGGTCTGAATCACTGGTATTCAAGCCACTCATTGGGAGCACGCCAGCAGTCCCTGTCCCCGTAGAGGGCCCAGAGGACGCCGTTTCCGTGCACCCGTTGAGGGCGGGGCCCGGGTCACTGGGAGCGTGCCAGCAGTGCCCAGACAAGCAGTGCCCTGCTGCGCTCTGCACCGTGAGCCGAGATAAGGCTGATCTGATATGCCAGGGCAAGTACTGCTCTGGCCCTTGCTGGCGCCCTCCAGCTACAAACACACCACTCGGCGCTCCGGCAATATTTTTGGCCTCGGAATTTCCGGCAAGGGCCTCGTTTCATGGCCAACGCTACAGTATGCTAAGCGTATTGTGGTACCTATTGAGTTTCCGTGGAAATAAAAAACTTATTCAGACGCTCAGCATAGGAGAGCGTCCAAGGCTCTGAAGCGCTCTGTCTGGCTGCTGCCTAGAGCCATGGTCAGTAGAATATGTGCACATGTGCTTTTTATAAAAGTGGCTTAATGTTGACACAATGAAGTACGTCAGGGTAAATATTTACTTTAGGACCGGCACACTTTTTCAAAGGGAAATTTTCGACAATCTTCCATTATTTGACATCCTAAATCAATAAATGATACTTACATGTCACCAAAACTTCAAAAAGTCACACAAAAACTTGATAAAATCCAGCCATCTCACCCCGCGTCACGTAACGTACACCGACGAAATTATACGAATGCGGCGATTAGGATATAAACGTGTTTGCGCAGTTGCCAAAAGGAAAAATGTGTGCATGAAAATGACGTCATAAAAATGGTTAAAAATTGGGAGATATGGGGTAGGATAGCAAATTAAACACGGAAAAAATTATCAGAACATAACCTAACCTTACCTAACCTGACCTACTGATATTTGCCTACCCGGGGAAAAGGAAAAAGTTGCTCGCATGAATAGATTGCAACCAATGGTAGGTCAAATATTTTTAGGTTAAGTGATTGTGCATTAGGCTTCAGGCGAAGGCCTGAAGCCTAATGCACAATCACTTAACCTAAAAATATTTGACCAACCATTGCCTGTAATCTCTCCTAAGGCATTGCCTTCGGCACTGCCGCTGCTTCGCGACGAGAAATTTCATGACGTCACTTTCCTCACAGTTGAATAGCATCGTTAATATGTATTCACTAAACCTTGGAGCGTAGTGCGTGGCCGGGGTGGAGTACGCAGTCGGTGGGGATCTACGGCGGTGACGGTAAATATTGTATTGGTGCATTTAAACTTGTTTGTGCCATGAATGACTATCAGCTATGAAATCAAAAGGTCAAATTATGTCATGTGATATGCTTCTTACTATCACTTGGGGTTCGCGACGAAAGTAAAGGCTGCCGGTCCTAAAGTAAATAAATACTGTACGTCAGTAGCGTAAGGATGTTTTCTAGTCTGGGATGAGAACACATCCAATTGGGAAAGTGAGCCCACAAGTGTCAAATGGATAAGTAGCAAAGAGTGTAGTGATACAAACAGCAGCATTGTCAAGTTGATACACAGCATTCATTCCAGTCATGGGACACAACTTCGTTGAACACGACTGTCACTGTCACTGCTTGATTTAGCAGTGGACTACAACAAATATTAGACTCATATTACTTACCTTAAAATACTTGTCCACTGAATTAACCTTCAATGATTCATCAGTAAAAGACGTCAACCACCGCCAGCCTGAAAAACGAAACACAGCATCAACTCAAAGCCTCGAAATCGAACTAGAACCAAGGCCATAGAACTTGAACTGGAACAGAACTGTGGTAACACAATCGCATCAGCATAAAGATATCAACGCAAGCCTGCTTGATCCCGACATAAAAACAACTACCTTGACCAGTACCTACTCACCTTTTAATTTGATAAATGGGTCCCTGAATATCCCCTTAGCCTTTCAAGGATACGCGGCCTAAAATATTTCCCTTCACTTTACCAACGTAAGCAACTGTGTGGCCTTCAAAAAGTTTGAGTTGCATGATCAAAAGCAGAAAACATTCAATGCTATGCTTCGAAAAATAATCATGCTATCAAACACAAATACACCGCTTTTTGTCGCAGCTGCGCCAGAAACCCCAAATGGAGCGTCAATGACCTCGGGACGGGTACGGACCGGTCACACGGGTCCCGTTAGTCGGTCATCCCACGGGAGAGGGGAGGGGAGGGGTGCGGTGCGGGTGCAAGATTCCAACGTTTCACGCATGCTAATCCCGCGGGTCCACTTCATTTGTTTTTGTTCAGAGGCCTTGTATGAAACGGTTCGGAGTGGTCTGTGGGATAGAAGGGACATTTCCATCTTTTTATTCTATTTTACAGAATGTATGCGAAATTGAAGAAACATTCACATAAGAGCGCCTTGCATCTCCATTATGCTATGCACATCAGCGTCAACAATCCGCTCCTTCAACGACCAAGCCCTCCATTCAGTCGACCTTGCATTCAGTCTTGCTTGCGAAGGTCTTCAACCAATCTGAGACAGGGCGACATCTATTCACGAACGGAATTATAGTTACGGTCACAGATGACGCTAAGAGCTTCACTTTGTAATGTTTTGTATGCATTATTGTAATGCTCGGGAGAAAGGGTTGCACGCTAGCAAATTTCTGAGCGGGCTTGTTCTTCTTATTCCAGCATCATGAATGAGCATTGAGCAACATACGCCTGCAGGTACATTTTTTTTCGCGGACAAAGGTACACATTGCACTAGGTTAGGACATAGTACGAGTACGCAGGTACGCCAATATTCGCTACGGTCAGGTGGGCCGTGAGGGTAACCGCCAGCCCGGAAAGAGGGCGTGAGGGGATCATTTGTCCGAGGATGGTGCCAGGACGGATGACGAAAATGTAGATAAAGATGGTTCGTTAAAAGTAGTCATCAGATGATCAGATGATGCGTTTTGCTCGGCTGCAAGCCAAAAATAGATCCTAAGGTAGGTACAGTGGGTCTATTTAAGATCTCCAGAGCCACCACGTGGCGCTACGGTCGGGGTAGGGCGAGTCCAAATCCCGAGGGAAGTGAGGTCACCGGTCATTGTGGGGGAAGGAGGAAGGGGGGGGGGTGACGCGGTATCACGGCGCATGGGGCGTGCGTAGCGCCGGGAGTGGGCCACCCAGGGCCGCCCGCCACTGCGCCGAGGCTGAGGGGAGGGGATGATGGTTGCGGGTGCGTTCACTCCGGTATGGTGGTATCCTGTTCATGTGGAACCGGCAAGAACGCGACTGAAGGGAATCATTATCTCAAACAAACGGGCAAGCCAGAGGCAGCGTCAGTTCCAGCCAAAATGTTGAACAATGATAATTGAAACAATCTAGGACGTATTCATAGCCTGCAACTTTTCAGTCGATAGCTGCATGATGCTTTTCATGATGCATGATGAGGCTTTTCTAAACTGTTATTTGAGTTAGACATTTTTCATTTGGCACGTTCAGTTTTGGTGGGTTTTATCGGGTCGAAAAGAATCAGAAAAGAAAAAAGAGTTGAAATGGCTCCAGAAAAATGGCCAAAAATATTTTCCTAAAAAATTAAACTTAGCTAAACGTTTATAAGCGATAATTTTGACTTTTGGGGAGGATATTGGGGAAAGATATTGGGGAAAGATGTCATCGTGCTTAGCTGTGTTGCAGTGGAAGGAAAGAAGGAAAGGTTTTGGTTGTGTCTAGATAAAACCAGACCCGGGAGTGGGGCTCGAACTCACGACATCGCGTTCAGCTCACAGGTTACCCAACCTCAACGCTACGAGCACCTATCGCCCTGCGCAGCTTGCTCAGTGTTTCGGCTAAAGTTCGGCCAAAGTGTCTGACGTCTGTCAATGTCACGGACTCACGAGGCGAAACCCCAAGGTAAATGTCCGTCCCGGTAGCTCGGTCGGTAGAGCGTTGGACTCCATGTGCCATGTGGTGAAGGCGCACGTCCCGGTTGCAAAAGCCCGGGTTCGAAACACGACGTGTGCTTGACGTTTTTAAGCCTCTTGACGGGTATGGTTGTGGTTGGTGGCAGGCCGCTGCCAGGCGAAGTCAGCGAGGGGACCGGCCGTGCGCGGCTGTGTTCGCACGTTAAAATTTGGACTCTAAACCACAGACTATTTTGCCATAGACTATACCTCAAAACCATAGTCTGCAATAGACCAGGAATTGCTTGATCGGAGGGTAGATGGCAGGTTTCAACGCTTAACAAGCTCAGCTTAGGGGGGATTCTGTCCTTGTGATTCCTTCCATTCAAAAGGTTCGGGCCAAATTTATATTAAAAAAGGGGGAGCCGAACCAGGTTGGGCCGAGTTGAACCAGGCTGGACCGGGGTCATAGATGCAATCATGGTCAGACAAAACAGAAGTTAATTTCGGGTCAAATATTTTTATTAACTGATCTTATTGTTTTTTAGCTTACACGTAAAATTACTTTTAGCTTTTTATAACTCGAGACTTCATGCACAGAAATGTGGCGTTCGTCCACTTTTCCTCATCGTCTCTTAGCGACTTGATTTCATGTGGTGGCGGAACGGGGGGGAGGGGGGCATCGGGGCACCGTGCCCCCGTTTGATTTTGGCATTTTAACATTAGCCCTATGGGCGTTGCATGGAAAGAATGGGACCAAAAGTCGGCAGTGCCCCCACTTCATTAAATGTGTTCCGCCGCCACTGCTTGATTTGACCCTAAAGGCGTCTTACCAGCAAAAAAAAAACCTGCGTTATACCTAAATATTTGCCCAAGGGCTCTCTACGCAAGAAACGCCAGCCGGTCAAAAAACTGGCGAACGAATACGATCTCTCTAGTGCTTGAATTATATTCAATGAAAATTTCAGGACACATAAATACCTAATCTTAGTCCTTATAGCTAGGCGCTCGGAGCATTCGCTAGCATTCCATTGCCAGCTGCATTATCAACGCCACATTTGCATTACTCTGGGTGCATCATAAGTAACAGATAGGTGAACCGGCCACAGCAAAACCATGCCTCATTATCCTTTCCTTCCAAGCTGCCAAGCTAACCGGCCGCCCGGCCCACCACCGCGATATGGAACAACACTGGAGTGCCCCATTTGCCTACGGCAGTGCCCCACCGCGCCGGGGCTGTTTGACAGGTCACCCGCACCGTGACCTCGCCAACCGCCCCCCCCCTCCCCGCCCACCTCCCCATCGGGCCCAGCTCGGTAGTGACCTCTCCTTGAATTTGACATGGACTCGACTAAGGCTCAACGCCATCTAGTTACGTCTGGAGATCCTAATAAGATCCACTGTACATACATAGCTAGAGCTAATCTGCGAGTAATGTTAGACGGCACGGCACTGTTCCGTGCCGATCTCCTTCTCCGTGCACGGAGGCCCTGAAACAATAAAGATGCCAACAATGCTGAAAAAGATGACGGCGCATTCTGTAAGCGGCGACTGACGTCCAATGTCCAATATCTGGCGCAGCGGCTTGGCTCCGGTCATTGAACTGGCGGTTCGGGCTGGAGTCTCGACTCCCGTGCCAGCGGTGCCAGCCGACAGCTCTATGGTCAAGGCCAAGGTGAGTCCAACAGGTGCCGACACCTGTGCCGGTCTGAGCTGATTCGAGAACAGCGACGGAACTTGAATTGCAGTGTTGTAATGAGCGTTATAAAGGGGACGAAATATGAGCGTTAAATGGGGACAATAGCTGTTGACCATTATAACGAGGACAAAAAATGAGCGTTGTAATGGGGACAGTAGTTGTTGAACATTAAGATAACTAGGACAAGAGTTACGCATTATAATGGGGACAATAATTGAGCACTCTAACGTGGAAAAGAGCAGAACGTTATAACGGGCTAGGCTAATCCGTTTAAGCGCTCTGCCCTTTTTCTATAACCCGGTTAGCTGAGCGTTACTATAATGAGCGCTATTTGACAGAAAAAAAATCCTTCAATGAAATGGAAACGGGTGTCGGGTCTTGTGTAATTTGTGTCGTCCGAACCAAACGCTACCTAATGGTCTGCCTCTCTCTCTCTCTCTCTCTCTCTCTCTCTCTCTCTCTCTCTCTCTCTCTCTCTCTCTCTCTCTCTCTCTCTCTCTCTCTCTCTCTCTCTCTCTCTCTCTCTCTCTCTCTCTCTCTCTCTCTCTCTCTATCTCTCGCTCTCTCCCTCTCCCCCCTCTCTCTCTCTCTCTCCCCCCCCTCTCTCTCTCTCTCTCTCTTCCTCTGCTCACTTTGGATTCCCCTCCCGTTTCGATCTGAGCGATATAGCGTTTCACAGAGGCGATGGAGCGGACTAAAACGCAAATCACGAAGGGGTCATCAAATGTTTTGCTGCTGTCCCGGAAAGCATGATAAAGTGTGCGTAGTCATGGCCCGTAGTCACTAGTCATGGCCATGTATATGCAATTATGTATACCTATCGAGCTCCCCTAAAATTTCCATAAATTACGAAGATCCTACTGTACCTATTTCTGGGCATGGATTGGCGTTAACTTTAACCCGCGCCGGGCCGGGGTTGAACACCCCCCTGCGGTTTTTCGCAGATATCTCAAAAACGGCGGCGCTCTGCGCCGCCTTTTTTGGCACACCTCGCATCTTTTCCGCACATCTTGTGAGAATTTCAGACCCAGGTCGCCTTAGGTCAGGTCACCAGGTCACGCCAAGTGGCCTCACCTCACAAAAAAATAAGAATGCTCGTCGTAGCTACACTGATTGATCGATTGCCTTGAAACCTTTAGCGATTCATAAGGGCAGCATTATCTATAAAATGTATATCTCGGAGTTTCGATATCCGTGACCTAAGGTCAGGTCAATTTTGCGGCCTCTCCATTATAAGTCAATGGGAGAAAATTGAAAAGCGTCTGTTTGCACGAACGCTATTCTAGACACTCTCAAACATCGAGATGTAGGTAAAATTGACACACTGAACCGGAAAATGGCAACTGCGACCCCTCGTTATGTCCCCGAGGTCATCTCAGGTCACGAACAGAATATAA